GCTTTGCAGAGGCTTTGCTTGCTGTGGATCCGAGGAAGGGAGAATGTGGTGCTAGATAAGAGCAAAACCAGTACGTACTTGTTCAAGGTGTTGCCTATCATTAAGCAGAATCTTTTCTGCAGAAAAGAGGTTTTGAGAGGGAAGTGCAGCGTTGACCGAAAATTAAAGTATTTGGTGTTGGTGTCTCCTTTATCTTTGAGATTTCTGCAGTGATCAGACTGGCCCTAAAAGAGATGATACTTTGCACTCCAAAAACTGACTAAAGTTTAAACAAATTGAAGTTGTGAAGTGCAAGCTGTGTTAAAGGGTGTAAATATGCTTTAAAAATATAAGCATCTCTGTATTTGGGCAAAGCATATAAAAACTGATCTTGATGTTTGCAGTTGCAGTTAAAAAAATTGGAGAGTAACGGGCTTTCCCAGTAAGCTTCCATTGGTTTGCTTTCTGTTAACTCTGTTTTGGGGGCTGCAGTTAAGGGCAGCGCTATCTGTGTTAGCAGTAAGGTGATAGACACAATTAGTATTGCCTCCTCTTCCAGGAAAAAAGCCAATAGATGTCATGCGACCGATCTAAAAATGGATGGTGACGACATCCATTTTATGCTTCGTTTGATCCAGTGTAATACTGTTGTGGTGCTGCTGTGTGGAGGAGGGGCTGAATTAAAAGATATATATTTGTATTGATCATAGGGCAGCTTTTGTGGTTTGCCACTAGGAGTTCATGCAACTTCTGCTAGAAAAAAATGCCAGGGAGCTGTGGGCTTCCGTCTGGGTTTTTGAAAGTTTTAGGGTATTTTTGGGATTTGTGCTTTCCCCTTCTGTCTCAAATTTGGCCTTCACCAGCATCTGGAGAAAAAGAGAGAAAGACTTTCAAGCTGCTGTTTTGTTGTTTTTTTTTTTTCACTAGAGAATCTAAAATAAAATTCAGTTGCATAAACAGCTGTAACTGGGAAAACACGTCCCTGTCGGTGTCTCTGCTGAAGTGGTGGTGTGATCATTTCACTGTCACTCTCTCCAGCAGACTTAGGAGAGAGCTGTAGTTTGCCTGTGGGAGTGTTAACCTTTGATTTTCCTGACTTAAGGGTTATAACCGGATAGAGAGATCCCTGCCGGTCACTCTCCTCCAGGGCAGCCCAGGGTTCTCCAGGTTCTGAACAGACAAACTCTGGGGTGAGTGCATAAGGATTGCCCGGGGCTGAAAATGCCAGGGGATCAGCTGGACTCGGCAATCACACCCTAAGCGAGCTTGTTGGTGTCTATCAAGCACATAGCAGTGTCTGGAAGTGCTCTGACAAGTGTATGTGCTCTGTATCAGGCTTAATTTTTGTCTTAAACACAAAATTGTTGGTATGGGAAGAAGAAAAAGTTTGGGGAACCACAAATACGGATTCTCTTCCCACTAGTGTTAGCCCTATGGTGCCGATAAGACTAAAAGAGCAAAACCATGCTGCTCCTCTTACGGCTGGGAAATTGTTCTTGCTTAACACACAGAGTTCAGCCATCTGGGTAAATTGCTCAGCTCTGTTCTCATCTCCAAAGCTGCAGGGAAAACCGTATGTACTTCTGAAATTTGTTAGGATTTTCCTTGAAGCACAGCGTCAAGAGGATGATGAAGGAGATACTGTCTGTGAGTCAGAACCTTTTTCATCCATACCTCACCATCCCTTGCTTGAGTAGCAAATAGAAACGGCTGTCCAATAGCTAAAGAAAATGTCGAAATGAATTGGTGGTGGTGTTGCAGCTCGCAGGGGGGTGCACAAGCTTCCTGTGGCTTGGAGCATTAAATCTTGGAGCATTTCATGTCAGGGCAGGGATTGTGATTGTCATACCCAGGGGATAGAGCAGAAATGGGGTTTCGCCATTTTCAATGTGAGCTTGGATCACAAAGCGCAGAAGCTGAGGGTTTGGGCAAAAAGGGCTGGTCACCTGGTTGATTGTCATATCAAACAGACAGCCAAGGCAAGGATGTGACCTGAGAGAACCTATGCTGGAAGTCCCTGAATCTGTGCTAAAAACTGCTGTCTGGAACGAGGGGCATGTAGAGATGGGGCAGATTGGAGCAGGCTTGTTGGGAGGGGAAGGTTTGCTGGGGAAGGGGAAGGCAGCACGAGGCAGAAACCAGAATGATGAAACCACAGACCTAGGTAAGGACTGGGAAGTAGGGGTAGAAATGGGATCAGGGCTAGAGGAAAGGCCAGGAATGAAGACTAAGCAGTAAAGGTTGCTTGCTGTGGGACAAGAAGCATGTTCAGCTGTTCAGAGATGAGGACTTTCCATGTTTGATGGCTGAACAAGCCATGAAGCTGTTGGTCCTGTGTTACTGTAGTTTATGTAAGACCTTTGGTCTTTCTGGAACTACATGCTGGAGGGTGGCACTAATATGCCTGGAGGAAGCAGTGCTTGAGGTTGGTTTCTTCTGTCACAAGAAACTTAGCTGTTGGTTTGCCTTTGCCGGTGCTGTGGGGACACAGAGCTTCAGTCACTAAAGCTGCTGGTATAATGCTTTTTCTTCAGTGCCAGTCTTTCAACAGCCAGACCCCAATTCAGTAGCCTACAAATTGTATCATTTCAAAAAGTATACCTGGGGTGGTTTACACTCGTGAGCCTGTGAGGATCTAGCTTGCCAGCTTTGTCCGTAATTCAAAGACCTAAACACAAACATTACAAGTGGGAAGTTTGGGGTGGGTGGGTGTGCTTTTTTTTTTATTGGTGTGTGGTGGGGGTTTTTTTTTTTTTTTTTTTCCATGTGAGACCTGAGGCACATCACTAGATGCCAAAACTGCAGGCTGCTTTTAGACAAAAGAAATGACAGTGATGCTCTCAAGTGGAGTAGCTACCATTTTTCTCACTTTTTTTTTTTTATTTTTTAAATTGAAGCAATTTTTAACGTGAACACGTGAAAATGAGGTACATACCAATTACTAGAGCCTTTTGTGGTGCTTTTGTAGCTTCAGTTGACTAAAGAAAGCGACAAGAAGGAACAGAGCCCAAGGGAAGCAGGAATCCACGCCTGTCCCTGCCTTCCCTGCGGGTGGGGGTGAGCTCCCAGGGATGTACGCAGCCCCATTACTGAAGGCGGCTGTTGAGCTGCACGTTGGTTTGCACTAAGGCAGCAGAACTGGGACGTGTGGCAGATTTTGTTGTCCTAAGAAAATACCGTGCAGGATTTTCTTTTCTCTTAGAAATTGTTTCTCCCTCTCTTGGGAAGCCTATAATAAGAGAGAAGGAAAATAATGCTGTTTTTTAAATTTAGGTGACTATTTCCAGTTCTCCACTGTAGGTCTTAAAAAAAAATAATACAAAATTGGCATGTCTTTGTAATAGTGTCATAAAGCTCCTCAGGGAGAAGTAACAGATGAAACCTTCACCATCTAGAACTGGAGTGTTTGTGTGTTACACTGAGAGTGTTCCTGTGTTCTGCCCGTTGTTGCTAGCAAGTGTGATGATCACCTACTGCCTGCAGATCTCAGTACTGCTTAGGAGCTTGGTGCCTCACCTGAAAAGATGGTTGGACTTGGCTCCAAGTTATCTTGGCTTTTTTGAGGTTTTACTAGTCGTCTCATATTTTTATTTTTTTATATATATATATATCAGGATGTTGAGAATTTACTATAGTATTTTGTTGTAACCATTTGGTAGATAAAGAGTGTGAATCTTGCATGAAATCTGTGGTCTAGGAGAAACCTGGGCTTGATCAGTTTAAAAAGAGAATAGACTTGAAAATCTGCCAGAGACCGAGACCCGCCCCAGTCATGAGTGTTCAGCAGAACTACCTGGTTTTTATGAGAACATAGTGTTGAAGAACCTAGTTGTGAACAGTTCTGTCTGTGCTGGTGGAGATGCAAGACCTGATGCCAAGAAAAGGTGCTTTTAGGCAGTGAAAGAGGATGTACACCTAATTTTAAGCACTTCTGTTGGCCTACTGGGGGGTTAGGGGGGAAATCAACGCTTTTAAAAAGCTGTAATAAGCTCCTGTTCAGCAGCACAAAGCTCAGCTATTGCATAATCTAGGTATTATGTTTCTGGTCAGGATTTGGTTCTTTTGGGTACATAAATTGCAATGTCAGAGCTTAGCTTTCCAGGACACTTATAAGCGTAAACGATAAAAGCCACTAAAATTCACTGAAGTGAGAAGTGTTTCGCTGTATTAGAAGGGTGGCGGAGGGGAAGGTGAAGGCACTACTGGTGTGTTACTTAAGCTACTTGAATATGGGAGTGGTGAGTGCTTGAAGCACTTCAGAATGAGTGAGATACCCCAAAAAATAGTGCCTCGCATCCATAGGTTACATTAGCAGCCAGTGATTAAAACCTTTAAAAGACAGAAATTGATCTGAACAGGTTAATCTCTATTTAAGATTGGCTTTTGTTTTTTTTCTTTAACCTCTCAGACTTGCCCTGAAGATCAATGGGATGCTTTAAATAAGAGTATAACAGGCTCTCCACTTCTGGGTGTTGTAATTACTGTTAATTGCAACAGATTTAGAAGCAAGGAGTTACTTTCTACACCTGCTGAGCATCCCATCTAGAAAAGGAGGCAATGATAGCTCATTTATGCAGATTATTCAGAATCCTGGCTGTTGTTTGAGCAGCTCAAGGGTGCCTGCCTGGGCACTGCAGGTGTTTAAGGCCGCTGTCAGAAGGGTCAAGCACCAAGAGCTTCCACACAGTCCTATCTGAATTTAAGTGCATGTTTCAAAATGGTTGTCTGAATGTGCCATCCTCCTACGGCGGTGTTATTACACAGGCAGAACTGGCAGCTTCTATAGGGAAAAGGATTGGAGTGTTTAACATTAAGCAGCACTGGGTAAAGGACTGGGTGGGTGAAGTGGGGGCTTGGATGGGGAAAGCCCATTATTCATGGGCTTGTCAGTACTGAATATGAGAATATGATGGCTTACGTTACTGTCACAAAAACTGAAGCGGGGAACTGGAGCAATTCAGCCTTTAAAATGTGATTTTGTCAACTTAATTTTCTTTCTTTTTTTTTTTTTCCCCCCTAAGGGTAGTATTACAAGAGGCACCCTCAGCTCCTCATGCAGAAATACACTCTTGAAGTAGAAGCAGCAGTCTGAGCCACAGGACGTGTTTCAGAAGGGCCGTCTCCGTTTGAGGAAAGTTGGGAAAACTCTACACAAAGTTGGTGGTACGGCCACTTGGCAGGCTGCTTCCCAGCTCTCAAATACGGGTAAACTTTTGTTTGTTCTTTCATTCTTCAAAGATCAATGCAAACCTTTATTTTCTATAAATAATTTAATAAATACTTTTGTTTTACAATGATACAACAAATAACAAATTCATAGCAAACGAGTCACAAAGAATTTAAGATCAGTATACTTTAATAAGGTATCAGTGTCAAAATACATTTCCTTATCAAGTTAAAGTTCCCATACAGTTATAATATTGTCAATAAGAATTCAGCAATATAGATTATGAAATAATTATGATAAAAAGTATGATTAATATTAAGACATGGAATATTTTTTCAGAGTGTTTTAGTAAACTGTTAGGGTATATAATTTTTAATGCTGAAACTACACAAATAAGAAATAGAAGAGCAGTATTCAAGTGTCTTTAATCCTTGAAGCCTTTTAAGTCCTTGCCACTGCACATTTGTCAAATCTGGCTTGCCAATTTTCATCAGATTTTGATGCTTACAATATATTTTTTCCACATGGTAATAAATTCATTTTAGGCATAGATTATTTTTGGTAATAAACTCTTGAAATATTGCCTATAATATGACCTATCATTTTTTTTTACATTATGTACCAATAACAAAAGATCTTCAGCTTTTCTAAGTAGGTGTGGTTAAGACTCACTTAACGCAGCACACTCTGAAGTGCTCAATGAACCCAAGGCTCCCTCTGTGCAAGTGTCAGTGCATGATATAAAGCAATTTTTAAACCAGGCTTCAGCAGAATCAGAAATCTCAAAAGAATATATCTTTGTTCTGAGTTTCTGGGCCAGATTTTTACCTTTTGTACGTTGCCACAGTTCCATTTTCTTCAATGAAGCTACAATGATTTATACCAGTGGAGGAAACAAGATGATACATCCCAACATATACCTAGGTCTGTATGTAATTTAAAGTCAGAACTGCTCACCTGCCTTCTATTATTTTAATATTTTTTTTGCTGTTTAAATATGGTGTAACTTAAGCTTTCAAATGCCTTTGCCTTTGAAAGCATTCAAAGCCACATTTTTTAAAATATGTGCATGACAACTAATGATAGTTGGAAAGAAGATCTGAAAATGGCTGCCTTTTAATGACATTTCAGCTACTGATTCATGTAAGGCAAGTAAAAATGATAGCCTGCTGGCTATTCAGCTCGCTACACAATCCTTAATTCTTTTTATCTATTTATTACTGAGTTAGCCTAATACACTGGGAAATATTACTTTTACTTTCAGTTTTAACAATTCAATATTTCAATTATATTGCTAGCTAGCACATAAGATAAAAAAGGGTGCCATTAATCAGAGGTGTTAGTACTGGCTGCTGGTCAGATTCCTGAAATATCAGCAACACCGTAACAAATACTAATAGTTCTAGCAGAAACAGCTCTTAAAGCTGTGGTGTCCTAGATACAGCAAAAGTACCAAAAGATGATTAACTGACCTGGAGAGAAACTAAAACATAAAAATAAAAAAATCTAATTTGTGTTTTAAAAAAAACCCCAAAACTATTACAGGAAACAACAAAGAACAAAACAAGAAACTGCAACACAAATGAAAACACAGGTCTAAATCCTCCACTGGGGTAAATCTGTAGGACTCCCTTGGCTGTAGAGCTAAGCCAGGTTAAGGCAACTGAGAATGTGGCTCGCTTCTGAGGAAAAAAGCTTACAATGTGCAACTTTCACAGATACCCACAAACATTGCAGTTCACCATTCACATTTCTTTCAACAAAGTGTATAAAAAAAATGAAGGGAAGGGGGGAGGCGGAAGGCTGGGATTTTTCCTTAGTATGCTTTTTCAAAAATTATTAAAGTTACAATACGATAAATGCTGGAAAACAAAGACTCAAAGGATTTCAATTTGGCTGAACAAAAAACTGTGGTTGGAGATCAAATTTGTTTTATGCATCTTTGGCAATAAAAATAAATCTTTGCAGTACTGCAGCCAAAGTATCACGTGATAAGGCATTCACACCACAGCTTTTTATAAGCATGAAATTTGAAGAAAATTTCAGAGTATAAATTACATGTAATGAGATAAGGGGAGGGTAATCAAACTCTCTAAACAACACTTTAATTGCAATAGAGAAAATACAGTAGATGTATTTCTTTAATATGAATAATAAAGTGAGTAACTTCAAAAGGCCACTATTTGGTAACGTGAACAGGTTCAATATCTAAGTAAAATCCTGTAAAAGTGTATTGGTATTAGAAATTGTCTACTTGCAAAAATATATTTAAAAACTGAAGCTGTTTTGAACAGTATAGGCCACAGAACATTGCAGGATCGCTCAGGTTGCCTGGTCCAGTGCTCTGAGCAGTTCACTGCCCTGCAGAAGCGTTGAGTTGCCCAAAACAGGGACGTTTACCTCACAGTCATATCTTGTCAACTCGGGCAACAAGTAGGGTTCGAAGGAGGGCCCCAGCAGACGACTGGTCATACCTGGAAGAGATTCATGAAGTCAGGCACGGTGCTGGGACCAGAGAGACAGAGAGAGGACTTCTTTCCTTTTCTCCCTCTTATGTTTATAGCAGTTATAATTTAATTTTTTGTTTATGTCAGTATGCCTTGAACCACCAGCAGTTACAGGTTTCAGAGCACACTTATGTGTCACTATGCACTGCCTTAAACTGTTGTGTCTCACACAGACACGTGTGGTTTTTCACCTCCACCCCCAATTCAGACTCTTCTGAGAAAAATCATATCAGCACAGATGAAGAAAGCTGTAGTAAACACCGATTTCTAAATTGACACCCACTCCCCTTCTATTAACAGGGACATATATATGTCCCCTTTAATTACTTATTTGAACGTCTAGAAGGCATGTGTTAGGACTCTAGCCTACAAACCTCCCATTATCAATGCTGCAATGAAGTAATTTAGTTCAGTTTAATCAATTCCATCACAGGACAAGAGTATGGATGGAGGCTGACTGGATGACTGGTAAAAAGGTATCAAAATACTTTTTTCTTCATATATTACAAATGTAAACATTTAAGTTTCACACTACACAACAGAACTACTTTTTCATTCTATGAAGCAATACATATTTGGTTCTTAGTTTATCATCCTCCTCCATATTTTCTAAGTGTTTTCTTTCATGGTATCAGTATTGGAACTAAATAACAACATTTCCCAGTTTCTGTATTTGACAGCTCTTACCTGATGCTTTATGAGCTGGCTGGACAGGATAGTCCTGATAATGGGGACTGTAAAACGGAGGGGGAAACGCTCCTGCTTTCAAATTCTCCCCAGGACTGCCACAGGTGGGCGGCTGCTGCTGCTGCTGCTGTTGCAGTTGGTTCATTGGTTGGCTCAGACCTCTCGAGTTACAGAGAAATTCATCTGATTTACATAGTAGGAAAAAAAAAAAAAGAGTTAAATTAAGCCCGTGTAATAATTATAGTAGATAATACTAATTCAAAGCTAAGTGATCCTTGCTGTGATGTTCACGCGGCGTAGGAATACCTATATCTTGTCACAAAGGAAGCCCAGAAGCAGCACTAGCTCTAGAAGCAGTATTGCACCCACGATACGCTTGTGTGAGAAAACACAATGTTGTAGAGAAAAAGCGTCAGTTCTAGCTCTGAGGTGTCCACACCTTGGATCAGCGTGAGGTAAACTCATCTCCATTAAGCTGATCTCTGTTACCCCCAAAAGCAAGAGCGTGAACATACATGAAACCATCTACCTGGTAGTTGTTAAATGTACTTTAAATTGTCCAGCTCTTAGTGATATGACCTGATCTTTCATTTTAGCTTACTGTAATATTTACAGAGCTTATTTACATTTCCTTTTGAAAGAGTTTTTGTTTCTGTTCAACCCGTCTTAAAATTGTGTTTCAATATGTAACATTGCAAAACCACATTCTTTTGTCTTACCAGTAAGAACACTTGTGCTGAGAGACTTTTTTTCTGTAACCAAGGAACAGGTTTCCCCTTTGAGAAATTTCATTCTCTTCCACATTAGCTGAGATGGGTTAATGACCGACGGATCTCCCTAGAATGTGAAGAAGAGCAAAACAAATAATTACACCGATGACCCTGGTGTGTCCAAATTAGTGAAGGGGATGCATTTCTTCTGATTACCCCGCTCAGCTGTTGCAATGCTTGTTCTTCATAATCCAGTTGTCGTTTCAGTTTCAAACTGTTAGACAGCGCAATTCTTGCCGGGTTTATATCTATGCCTCGTTGCCCGAAAGCATCCAGGGGTCTGTGGAGAAAAGATCTCTGGGTGAGTGAGCAGGGAGGCAAATCTAACGCATCTTGATCATATATAGAGATTCTTCTTTCATTTAAAGACATTTTAAGGTGTCTTTGACACATGACAGTGGACAGACCTCAAATGTCAAACAAAGATTTTTGTTTCCTTTTGTTAGTCATCCCACAAGCTTTAGAAACAAAATTTTGACTTCTGGGATCAAAGACTAATGAAAGTCTAGCATAAACAGCCTCTAGGAATCTCCAGACAGACATAAAAATGCTGTGGAAAAGAAAGTCATGTGATTTTTCAGGATAGCATTTTGAGAGCCCTGCCTGTCCACCTGCTTTGCATACTCAACACAAACACAGAGGTTACTGTTTGGGGACAAACCCTTACTTTCCAGATGCATATTCAGACACTGGTATTTCTGCCAACAACAAGAAATCCCAGAAAGCAAACTACAGGTAAGCTGCACAGCTTCATGTTTTAAAATCACCATTGCAATTTTATGTACTTCCTGAATGCTTGAGTATAACCAATGCCAAGGATCCACCCTCGCCATGCTAACCAAGACCTACAGAGAAACTTCTAGCTACAACAGAAAACTTCTAGGACTGTAGCCTCTGATCTACATCTCATCCTATACTGGTCACACGTGTAAGGAAGTGACCAAGGCAAAGAAGGGCTATAGAAAAAAAAAGCCTGTAATTTCAAATCTTAGTTATATTATTATTTATGTATGCCAACAATAAAAGTACTGTAAATCCTCTCCCCTATTTTCTGTTGTGCAAAAAATATGTGGA